ACCCACACCCACACCAACACCCACACCCTCACCCACACCCCACACCCACACCCACACCCACACCCACACCCCACACCCACACACCCACACCCACACCCACTCACACCCACAAAATTTCATTTGGTCATTTCACTCGAATATTTTGACTCTGTTATCTTTGTGTGATTGGAGTACATAAGTCTCGATAATATCATATTGAGACTGATATTTAAGACTGCCATACAAAGGCTCTTCTCCATTGAATAGTATGGGTTCTGATTCTGATCTTGTTTGTATATTGTTCCTTTCGAAAACTTTTTATGCGGTTAGTTCATGTAGTTTATTTATAACAACAATTTCATATTTCACTAGTAGTCAGAACGTACGTTCTATTATCAATGAGTAAAAAAGACATATAGAAAATAGATATTAACCTCCTAAGGAAAGGCTTTTCTCGATCATTTCTTGCTCTTTAGAAAGAGAGACAACAATTGTAGGAGATGTTTCGGATACTTGAAAAAGAAAATCGGAACAATATCAAACATTATGCATCCCGAAAACTTTTTATGGCATTTTCGTAAACATAAAGATTCGTCTATTTAGAAGCTTTTCTTTTACATTGGTGGCTAACTATATCTTCATCAGTTATAATTTTATTATCAATCTAAAGTCATGGCATATTGGACAAAATATAATGCTACGAGTTGTAATGTGACAATGTCGACTCATTTATCATTGACAATCCTAGCACTGATACCTATTGATATATCTCACAAATAGTGACACTGAACGTCAAGTTAGAAACCGACATCTGTTACTGAAACATTGACTAACCATAATTGATTGCCTGAAAATTTTATATGATTATAGAAAAGTGTAGTTTATCTGGATTTCAATGTTTATGAGGAGTATTGAAGTGCTCATTGTGGTGGTGTGTAGTGTCGATAATATGAAAAGTGCAAAAATGGTAATCAATCTGTCAAAGTCAAGAACTGATTGTATTATCCCGAATCAAAGTCAACAAATCATTACTCATGGCCAAGTGAAATTCAACTCTCGGACTGCCTGTTATTTATATTATTTGCATAAAAATAATATTTAGTCATACGATTGTATTTTTATTTTGAAATATTTCATTGATTTTTCTAATCTTTTTCTAATAAACTCTTTGATTATTGAAGAACATGTTAGATAAAGATAATACAATAAGAACGAAAGTAAAGTTTTATATCAAGTCGATAGTATTTTCGTTTGTTTAAAATCTATGTGAAAATAATGCAAATTACTGATTCGAAAAACTTTTCGGATGATTTTTCAAAATTGATAAAAATATCTTGTAAGGCAAAATTTTGTTGTTTGATTCTTATTGATCAAGATAAGTCCAAGTCGATTGTTTTCTTTCAAGCATGCGCTAACTGTCGATATGACGAAAAGGTCATTTATCTTCGAATAATTTTTCAGTAATTTGAAAATATGCTGCATATAAGTATGAATCAGATTGAATGTGGCTTCTCTTTTTATACTTACATGTACATCCTCAGTTTTTCAGCAAGAGTATGTGTCTCTAATTATAAAAATATGATGTAGAAAACTTCTTTCATAGCATATCTGTTTTCCAAGAGTTCTGCTTTGGAAAATTCAATCTTATTGGTTTCCTTCTGAAGTGCGGTTTTGATAAATGGTCGTGAAATTTTTTTGGTGAAAACTTTTGTTGATATTTGCAGAATATCTCTCATGGTAAATAAGCAAAAATACTTAATAAGTGTCAATAGATAGAATCGTAAATGAGTGATATCTATCGTTTCTATTAATCTATTCGTTTCTTCGTCTTTGAATAGTTATTCATTCGTATTTCATAATGGTCAATAATCCGATGTTTCCTAGAGAAGAATTGAATCTACGTAATTTAATTTGTGTTTATTAAATCCTTAATATATTATTGAAAGTTTTTCATTGAAATAGTTGATGAATGGATCTTTGGTATCCATCTATAATAATTCCATTGGCATCTGCTGAAGGTCAAGAAATTTTTTCGAAATCGTCACATGTCGCTTATGATCGTCTTAATCCACATTTTGAAGTACAAGAACGTTTGTCATTTTGTGGCATTGCTTGTGCTTCGATTTTACTAAATACTCTTTTACCTTATCAAAATTGGAGTCAATCAAATATTTATTCAAATATTGCTAGAAGTCATATGTCAAATGGAATAACTCTATCAAAATTATCTTATGTTCTTGAAAGATGTGGTCTTCCATCTATAATTCATTATTGTGAAGATGAAACTGTCGAAGAACAATTTCGAAAGGATATTAGACAAGAGAAAAACTTTCTAATTGTTAACTATTTGAGACAATTTAAAGAAAAAGATAACAATCATATTCATCGTGGAGGACATTTAAGTTTAATAGCTGGATTTAATGAAATAACAGATCATGTCCTCATATTGGATACAAGTCATACAAGATTTCCTCATCATTGGTTATCAGTCAGAGATTTGATTCGTATGATGTGTACATACGATAAAATGGCATCAAGATCAAGAGGATATTTAGTTGTTATTGATCCAAAACAGGTTGAACAAAATCATTCAATTGAATTCTAAGATTTATTATTTTCATTCAGCTGTTTCAATCAAGTTGAACAAATATTGTTCATCAAATTTGAATTAGGACCATTCATTATAGTTCAAGTTGCAGTTGTAGATCTGTAAATAATAAATGTTAAACATTATAGTATATTTGATAAATGATTATTCACCGAACTCTTTATCATATATAAAAATAGTTAGAAAGATTATTTTTTGTGAAGATATTTGATATTGTTATGTTATTGAGGTTCAAATACAAATATGTTTATATTTTATTTATATCTGAAACTATTTTCATTTCATCGAAATCCAAAAAAACTATTTATCTTAAAATGAATTTTATTCAATAAATTGATCAATTCAAAGAAGGAAAATTTTATTTTCTATTCTAAAACATTGACGATTATTTTTTTCAATAGTCAATCGAGAGATGTCGTTCTATTTAAAAGTTTGTTGATTGGTTTCAAAGTAAAATTATGTTATGTTTTGATAGGAAACATTTATAAGCTAAATTGATTGATTAAAGCAATCAACACTATTTTTATAATTAATAATCATTAAATTTTAAAAAATGGTATGTCAATAGAAATGAAATAATTAATTAAAACAGTAATCGTTGTTTTAAAGGTTGAATTAAAAGGACCTGGTTACACAAGTCATTCGTATAATGATATATTAATTATTATTCCAGCAATTATTATAGTTACTCTTATTGGTTAGTCAATTTAATAAAACATTTCAATTGAAATAAATAAATTTTTTTTGTATTCTCAAATAGGATTTGTTGTTTATCGTTTAGTAAACAATCTAATGTCGAAAAAACGTCAAAAAGAAGAAAAAGCTCGATTAAAACAACAAAAAAAACTTGATAAACAAACGTCACTTGCAAAAAAAAAACTAAAATAAAAATTGTATTTGATGAAAATTTTTTTTTGTTATTTACATGTAAAGAAATCATATTTCTCTTATTATTATTCCTATATAAGAATATTCAATTTCGATAAAAGATAATGTAATTTTATCGTCAAACGAGCTTTGTTTATCTTCTCATATTGATAAAAAAAAAATTTTTTTTCTATATGTATATTTTCTATTAGAAAATACTCAGATTTATTATTTAGAAATAAATAAATATTAACTGCAATGTTTTTTTTCCGCATTGGTCTTTTTGTTTTCGTTAACGATAGAATGGAATCGAACAGAACTACCCTGAATCGTCTTGAATTGTATTAGAAAACGGCATCATAACAAAATTGAAATATTTAAATTGTATTTAGTTTTCAAGTATGTTTCACGTCATTTAATAGAAAAATGTTCAGTGATACAAATATAATTATATATTTTTGAATAACTGTCTCAGTTAATTAAAGTTATCGTCCGAAAATTTTCTAATTGAAACTAAGGCCGCTATGGCTGAATGGCTAAGATGTTTAAATAATTCTATAAAGATAATAGATTATCTCGATAAAATGAATTAAAAGAAAAAAAAAAGAGGATTTGTTTGTTTTTATAAATTCTTGGTTTATTTAGAAGAAAATATAGAATTAAAATAAAAAGATAGTCAACAACACAGAAAAGTGAATGATTCATTGATTGGCTTGTTTTACACAATACATTTAAACGAAAGAAATTTTATTTTTAAAATAGATTATTAAGACATTTAACGAAAAAGAAAAACAAAAAAAAAATTATGTTTAAACTATAGATCTTCTGGAATATTTGTTGCTTTTTCCATAATTAATGTACAATTTTGACTTTTTAGTTGTTTGAGATTCTTTTTTGTTATTAAAGAATTTTGTGTTGATTCTAAATTCGATTTTTTAATACAAAATGATGGTAATATAAGTGATATCATTTCTAAACGAAATTGTTGTGACATTGAACAATACATAACAAATGTTATAAATGATGAACTAATTGATGTTAGATCCCAAAAATCTCCCAATTGTGAATATAGTAGAAAAAATTTTTTATCTATTCCAATAGCAATTAGTAAAAGACCTTGTGGTAATTCAACTAAAACAGTACATAATGTTATTAAAACAAGCATTGTTGTTGTTCGCATTTCAACTTTTATATTTGATGATGAATTTATTGATGAATAATTATGACGAAGACGTTCACGAATTTGACGAGCATGACGAATATTTAATATTAATAGTATACTAAATATAATTAATATAATAACAGGAGATATTTTTAAACATATTGCTAAGATTCCAAATGAAATTTTTTCTAAACTTTGACCTGTTGCTGTATTAACCCAATAAACTGTTTCAGTTGAATTTATTGGATAAGATTTTGGAAGAAGCACATGAGCTGGAACACAAACGACAGTCCATACTAAATAATTTGGTATCATTAATAAACATATTAAAAGAGCAACCAACCATATTAATATCATCACATGTGTTGAATTAACTGATATTTGTTTTGTTTTTGATATTATTGTATAACGAATCTAAACAATATTTTTAATTATTTTTATATTTTATCGAAAAAACAACAGTAGTTTTATATTTGTTTGTTAATAATAAAAATAAACAATGAAAAAAAAATGTTTTTGTTAGTTTGATTATAAAATAAAGAATCGAATAAATGTCGAGTGTTTCATTGAGTGAACAGATCTTCACAAGGTTTCCTTTCGATGAGCAATTTTTTCTTTTAAATTAACGGAAATTACACTACTTGACTTTACTCTATTATATCGATATGTATTTTTTTTTCTAATAATAAAACTTACGATAGCAAGAAGACAGGTAAGCCATAATGCAATTGAATGTGCTGTTAAACCAATATTTGAATGAAATATAGCAAAACGTGGCCAAAATTGTGATTGACCAACAAATGGATTTGGATCATGAAGAATATAGAAATAAAATGAATATATATTATATGATATTAATACAATTGTATCAAAAAATGCAACATGTTGAAGAATTAAATTTGTTGGAGTTTGAAAATTTTTTCGATTTAATATTATTATTGTAACGATACTTGTTAATATACCAAGTATTGTTAATGGAAATACAATTCTTCCATGAATTTGAGCATAATCTTCGCTAAATCGAACAAGAAGACTACGAGTTGTATTCGACAGCATCATTTATTTATTGATATTCATATGCTGAAATGAACATTATCATGTTATAAGAAACAGTTTTTATTAACATAATATGATATGAACTTTTTTTTATGAATATGAAAAAAAATAAGGGTAACAAGTCATTAACTAAATATTGTTATTCTTACCGAAGATTTTATCTGAATGAATTATCTATGTTCTGAGATTTCTAGTTTTTTTATTATCTATTTGTCACGAACAGATCTATCTATTATTGCATATTCGAAAAGTCACAATATATATGTATATATAACACGGATTAAATTAAGATAACTCTAACTAACTAAATAAATATTATGTGATGTAAAGAACAGAATCTTTGATAAAAAATAGGAAAAATAAAAAAACGAAGAAAAAAAGAAGCAGTAAGAAAAAAAAAAGAGGGATATTCATATAGTTGTCTCTCTCTTAGAAATGCTTTCAGAGAAAAGTTTCGATGTATTTTGCCTTTAGGCGATAAGTCACACATCGAATCAATCATTATATCCATTATCTATCAAATCAAAAACTATTACGGAAATGAGAAAATAGCTCCACTTTTCTTTCTTTTTTTTTTCTTCAAAAATTATTTTCTTTTCATGCAAGATCAACTAACTTTAGACGTAGATAGATTTTCTTTCGATGTTAGAAACACAAAAACGTTCTTTTGTGTCAATTATAATGATAAATGAATCTGTTTCATTATCATCAGTAATATTATCAGAAAATAAGTTTTTTTTTTTTTTTTTCTAAAAAGAGAAGGAAAAGACAAATGATATATGTTAAATGATATCCAAATATTGAATTTAATAAACAATGATTCAAGTTTAAAATAGTCGTTATCTATAATTCCGATTATCTTTTTTTGTAATAATAATAATAATAATAATAGTAATTAGTAACAAGAAACTTTTCTCTTACTTATTCTAATTGGTCTTTCATGTTTATTCATCACATGAATCTTATTATGAAAATATTCCTAATAATAACAACAAAACAGAAAACGTCTTTTCAAATAAATGAGTGTCAATATAATCGGATTTTTCTAATATATCATCTGTCTAGAGTTGACATTTTTTTCAAAAATATTTGACAAATTAACTCGATTTTTTTTTCAAATTTTTCTTATTTATTTATTTAATGAAATAAAAAAAACGAATATTTAAAATAACTAAAAAGATTTTCTTTAGTTGTTTGAAAATAAATTTTAAATTCTTTTATATAAATTTCTTTATTCTCATATTGAATATGAATAATCCAACTTCAAATAATTTAATATGAAAACTCAAACTTAATTTTAGATATTACAATTAAATAGAGCAATGATCTATTTAAAAGGAATTTAATGCACCAGATCAATAGTATATATTAAAATGTGATTCGGTTTTTTTTTCTTTAAAAATTCAATTATTCAAATAGGTGATTATTTGATAATCGTTCATATGTCAAAATAATAGTTTCCATAAATAATATACGCAATAAGACTTATTCTCATTGAATATATCAATAAAAAAACTATTTTTATCGCTTGTCAATAATAAATAACTCGAATACATTATTATATATTCGATCTTAAATGAAGAAATTTTTTTTTTTTGTACTCTATAAATAAAGTAGTCATCTCTTTACGTATTTAAAAAAAAATCATATAAATTAACCAATTAAAGAATGGCAAAATATTAAAATAGTACAAAAAAGTTTTGTTTTCATCTGACCGATTAATTATTTTATTTATTCATCGCTTATTAGATTTTTTTTATCTAATGTGAAACGAACTGATTATGATTATTCGGCTAAGCAAATTTTATTAACTAAGAAATATCTAAAATAGTTCGAAACAAGATAGAATGTATGGTAACAGAAAATAATCTATAAATTTTCCGTAAATGAACTATTTAAGAAGATTTATTAATCTTTTTTCATATTATTTATCATAAATAGATGAATATTTATAGTATTAACTTGTAAATGTGACATATTCTTTCATCGTTGTTCATTTTTATGATTTCTATATATAGATAAATCCCACTGGGAATATTTAAATAACAAATTGTTAAATGTTTCTCTTGTCGAAATGTTGTCAATCTTTATATTAAAATATTTATTAATCGAATACTTATCAAACAATTCAAAAACACACGAAATAAAATAAGAGCATTAAACAAAAGTAACACTTTTTTTTTTAATTATATCGATTTATCTTATTTGGTTTCGATTTTTATTTAAATAAACGAATATTGTTTAATCGTACGTTGAAGATAATAATAGATCATATTCAATTTTTTGCTTATTTTAACATCTTCAAATTTATTTTATCTTATTCAAATTCAATAAACGATCAATAATTATATGTTAAAATTTAATCCATAATGAAATCTATTTGAAAAGTTCGACATAAAATGAGAAATAGATATGTCTCATGAGATTTAATATTTCAATTTAATTTAATCTTTTTATTTTGTTTTACATTTTAATAATTATTCAATCGAAATATTTCAAAATTAAAAAAAAAAAACATTTATTTAAATTGTAATCAATGTTTCTTACCTCGAATGACATATTGTATAGTTAAAATCGAGTAAATATCCAATAAAAGAACAAATCTATTCTTCTTCTTCAATAAGAATCATTGATCCAAAATGGAACAATAGGTTTTTTTGTGGCCGGAAGTGACATTCTCAAAACAGAAAAAAAAAAGTTTCTTGCCGGATATATCATTCTCGAAAACAAAACAAATTTATTATACTATTGACAACATATGAGGTTGAACTTAACAATATCTAATCGTACATAAAAGTTACAT